TGATATGTCAGATTATGGTGAAGTAGTTGAGATGCTAGTATTGATCATGTCGTGAAGTGTTGAATGATTGGCATATGTGTAATCGATTTGAATCGTGTTGAGTTATTGAGTTATCAAAAAAGTAGTGGTCGAAGTGTTGTCAAACGCAACTTGGAAACCAATGAGTTGGATGCGAAACTCGTACTAAGAGTGGTAGTATCGAATATATTTTTGAGGACGGAAATATTCTAAGTGGAGGAGAGTTGTAACGCCCGTGTAACGCCCGTTAATTTAATTAATTATTTAATTAAGTTAATTACGGATTAATGGTTGAAATTGTTGTTGAAATTGTTGAAGTTGTAAAATATCGAGAAATGTTGATTTAAGTTGCTAAATTGTTATTTGGTTGATATTTAATTGATTGGTTGATTAATATTAGCAACAATATTAATATAGATATTAGAATAATATAAGGTTTATTAGTTGGGCTCATTATTTGGTTGTATGGAGTAATAGGTGGAGTGTGAAAGTTAGGCCCAATAAAAATACTAATAAATTATAAGGCTAAGTGGAATAAGGAGAATTAGGTTAATTGAACAAGTCTTGGAGAATTTTGGTACGTGAGAAGCTGTAAAGTTACAGAGAAGAGGCAAAGGTTGGAAGCTAGGGCGAGAGACTTTAACCAAGTAGAATAGAGTGATCTCCAATCCAAGGTAAGGGTGGGGTTCTGACTATCTAATGGGTTGCATGATAAATTTTATGTGGTAAATTAGGTAAGTGAAATTGCTATGCGTTTGTATGCTACCTTTGTTTTGAGAATTAGTTTTTGTTTTACTGTGTTGAAATCGTTCATGAGTTGTCTGTATAATAAATTGTGGTATAATTGATGTTGCCGTTGGAAATTAAAAGTTGTTATGGTTGTTGTAATATTTTGTGTTGTGAAAATAGATGTTGCTACAATGGTATAAACTGTTATGTTATGAGTCGAGTAATCGAAGGCAAATTTGAGTATTGGAATCAATTACAGAGAATTTTGCGTAAGAGAAAAACTGAAAACTGGAAAACTATACGGTGCTGAGGGGCACACAGACTGTGTCGGACGATACAGAAATTAAAAGTGTGCCGAGGGGGACACCATTTGTGCCGAGAGGCACACTAGAATATAAGGGTGTGCAGAGTGGCACACCATGTGCAGAGGGCCACCTTTAAATTCCTTTACTGTGTTACTTAATCATTTTATTTTGTTAGTTCCGTAAGCATAATATTTACACAATGAAATCAATGAATAGTAACCTCCAGATTAAAAGACTTTTATTAAGATATTAGAACTGAGTGATTAATTTAGTAGAACCAGGTACATAAGCATAATTAGCAGAAAGTGAATGAGTTACATAATATTCTTATATCAGTAAATTAATTAGCAGAGTAGTAAAATGAGTAGAGTTGTTTTAGTAGCAGCAAATAATAGAGTATTAATACATAGCAGAATTGGTTTATAACAGAGATGGTCAGTATGACAACAGTAAAGTTGATATTTAACATAGTTAATTAGTTTGATGCTTTGGCAGCTGAAACAGAAAATTAATTATAACAGAGTTAATTTAATGGAGGTTGGTATATGTATATAGCAGAATTGGATAGCAGTGTAGAATTAAGTTGTCAGAAAACTAATAAGGAATATTAGTATAAAGTAGAAATAATGGAATGTTTAGCTGGTAATTAATTAACAGGATTTAGTAGATTTGTCTGAATAACTATACGAAACAATTGTTATATATTTTAGTCGACACAGTGTGTTGAATACTTTGCTGAAAAATATGAATTTCAAGTGGTATCGAATTGTTAGGCCTATGGTCAATATTGTTTTCTTGTTGATGTTGTTGTCTAATTACTACTATTGGTATGTTATTGTTGTTGTGATGTACTAAGTTGTAGGCTTATGCCAATGTTGCGCTAATTGTTGTTGAAATATCAAGTTATAGGCCTATGGGCAAGTGTTGAATTATTGCTAAGTTGTAGGCATATTGAATTATTGTTAAGTTGCTGCCGAATTGTTGTTGTTGCATTGTTGTTGAATGGTTGATGTTGTAGTTGTTGTTGTGTTTCATATGTTGTCGCATACATGGCATATCAAGTTGGGAGCTCATGCTCTGTAAGTTGGTCTGGATTGACAAATATTAAGTTGAAGGCTTATGTCTTGTTGATGCCTCTATTAATTGACAGATTCTTAAGTTGGGAGTTCTGCTGCAATGGTACCACATGCATGTGCATTTTAATTGAGTCGCATTTGATGTTGCATCTTGAGTTGTGGTGATGATATATTTGTTATTGCTTTATGTTGTTGACTTGTGTGACAGGTATTATCTAAAAAGTTGTGAATTAGTCGTTATGTCGTGTCGATGTTTTGTTGTGATTAAAGTTGTTTGTAAGTTGTGAAGTGGTGATTTTATATGATCTGATCTAACATATTGTTTATCATACACTTAATTATATAGTTTGATATCTCACCTCTTCTGTTTGAATGTTGCCCTCTGTTGGTAACGTGTAGGTAATCAAGAAGGATAGTTGTTACCTTCGTTAGTTCGAGTCGGTGTTGTCGCTCTGATACGTAGCACTCGGGGGGGGGGGGGGGGGGGGGGGGGGGGGGGGGGTGAACGCTTGTTGCTTTATTATTGTCATTACTTCAGTTGTTGACTTTTAAGTTGATTTCCATCAAGTACTTATTGTCTTGAAGTTGTTTTAGTTGAATAAAAGATGTTAAGTGAATTGAAGTTGAGTATGTATACTTTGCTGCTTATCAATAAAAAGTTGTTTAATTTTAAAGAATAAATCAGGTTGTTATCAGTTCGTCCGAATTAAGTGTTATGTATCTGTTTTGTATGCGATTAAATGAAGTTTGATTTTAAGTTGTAAATGTAGCATTCCATTTGTTTGTTTGAAATTTTATAACTCGAATTTTAGTATTATTCATCGAGTAGAAATGGAGTGTTACACGTAGTGGGACCAGCACGTGGTCCCCAACCTGGATGAACTCCCCTGAATAGTCAGGAGGATATGGACGCGGTCTTTTCGAGACCAAGAGGACTCCGTGATATTCGGGAGGGTGATGAGTCAACCCTACGAGGAGGAGGTCTGCGGTGTCCTTACGTCGTCGTGGACCCTCCCCGCCAGTTGTGAGGTCGTCTAGGAGGGCTTGTTTTGGTCGACGAGAAGAGTGGAAGATGCTCGCGAGGTCCTTCTGACCGGCGATGAGCCTCCTCGCGATTCCTGGATTTATCCTCGTACGGCGTAGCCGTATTTTCACAAAAGGTGAGGTTACTGCCCGACATAGTTGAGAGCAGACTCGATCAGCAGATCTCCTCGAGTAATATAATTAGATTGAGTCTCGTATGAAGTTGGGTCAAGTACAGACCCAATCTAAAATAATATCTATACGACATAATTCATTTCTAGTCAAATACACAATTATACACAATTATATGTAAAATTCATTAAGTATATTTTGATTTCACCAACAACAATCATAGATAAAAGTTCTCTAGACAGGTTTTTGTGGCGGTTCAAATTATAATGATTGAGCCTGCTTTTTAACAGTAAATGCTCTTCCAATGGATGATTTTGATTTTTGACCATGGATTACTGCCTCCTTAATTAGAACCTGGATTGATTAATCATCCTGTCTTGACGGCAGAACCTTTCGAGGGTAATGCTATAGTTGTGGTTTAAGCATCTCTCTCACTCCTCAATAATCTCAACTTTAATTTTGACTATGCTTCACCTTACTTTTTATAAACATTTTGTGTACCTTTGAAAAATCATGCACTGTGTTTGTGGACTTTTTAGCTAATGCTGATGTTTTACTTGTATAAAATATGAGTTGATGTTGACTATGTTGTTCAATAAAGGTTAATAGAAATATGAGTTTAATTAGTGTAAAAAAATTTACATTACTATCATAATCATTTAATTATATTATTTTTTAAAATAAAAATAAAAATTAAATATTTTAAAATAATTAACGATGATTAATACTATAAAATTGTTTATATTTTTGATATATTTCGATTAAATAAAAAATATTTTTATTTAACTGAAATATACTTTTAACTGTTAACACGACCGTTCAAAATGAATAAGAATATTTAGTTTTTAAAGGTTGTAATTTAAACTAGCGTAAGTCTAATAAAACTTTCATTAGAGACAATCAACTCTTCAATATAACTGTAAAAATAAGTTTCTACAAAATCAGAAAAAACATAAAATTTGAATAGAATTATTTTTTAAAAAAAAATTAATACAATAAGATAAGTGGCATACATGGATGACAAATAATTTGTTTAACCCGTATAATTATAAATTACATTAAAATTTTTGTTGCTTCACTAAAAAAGAATAGATTAAATTTATTAACTTTGATAAATCTTGTTTTTTCTATTATATTTTTATATATTAAATATTATATATTAATATAATAAAATTAATATTTAACTATTTTATAATTTATTTTACAAATTCTGTATTCTATTAAGAATATTATTTATACAGTTAATTTTTATTTAATCCATAAAATTTAAAGTTCGTTTAGGACCGAATAATCTCTTTTGACATTTTTATCCCTCACAATAATGGAAACTTGAAAGAGGAGGTCTAACTAATTTATTTTAAATAAGTTTTAATTAATGAATCACTGTGAAAAATAAACTATCTATATTAGATTAAACATTCATTTAAATAAATGAGAGAAATATATTATAGATCAATCAAAATCTTAACTATATATTTTTAACATCATAAAATATAACCACAACAATTCAGATTAATTGATTGAAAATGGATTTAATAAGTAACTCAATATGTGGAAAAATAAACACCATAAAATAGTCCACAATATCATGAAAACAAACACATCAATACAACTTGCCTATGCAATCATCAACATATCTTTCTATTTTCCTACTTTGATTCACCAACAAGGGAAAGAGTTCCAAAAAAAAAAGTGGATTTAAAAAAGAATTTCAAGTTCATAAATGCTGAAATACATCAAAATTAGCTTCGTTACTTAGATATTCTGACAGTGACGTCTAAGAATAGGTAGTGAAATTTATTGAATCATTACTAGTCAGAAACTGTCCTTCTTGCCATGAACTTGTCTTGTTCATCAACAACTCTTCACATTTTACCGCATTGACTTCAAACTGTAACAAAGGATCCAAAATCTTGTTCTCACCTTCCCATGACAATAATCCACCTGCATTTTCAATCATGTTGCTGCTCATTTCACACCCTTGATAATCATTCATAGTTGAAAAACTATTGCATGAGTTTTCATTCACCAAAAGAGAACCAAATTCAGAAACTGAATTATTGTTGTCTGCACTATTTAGACAAGGCATTGAAGAGAAGAAATAGCTTGAATCACTTCCAAACAGATTCTGTTCAAATTGTCTCAGGCAAGGCTGAGAATAATAATTGCTCACACTAAGATTGTAGCATAATGGATCAAGTAATGGCTTATCCAAATTCATGAGAATTTTTCTTGAAGCTTCTGTAAAAGATAAACCACCAATATTATAGTGATAATTCAAATCACTCATTACAAGTGCTTCTGAATATGAGCATAAAGTTGTTTGTGGTTGAGACAGCGCCGGCATTAGCATTGATAATTTTTCATTCTCTTCCTTTAGAACTGATTCAGTAACATTGAAGAATGGCTTATGTGTAGCTGGATCAATCCCTTGCTTCATTAGCCTCTTCTTCAAACATGAATTCCAAAAGTTTTTTATCTCATTATCAGTTCTCCCTGGTAATTGTGCTGCAATTTGAGCCCACCTAATAACAACACATTTGAAAATTAATAAATAACCATTTTTGAAACATATAAACATGTCTGAACATTTACGTTACCTATTTCCAAGTACTTCATGAAGAGTGATAATAAGATTCTCCTCTTGTTGTGAAAACATTCCTCTCTTCAAATCAGGCCTCAAGTAGTTTATCCATCTCAATCTACAACTCTTTCCACATCTTTGCAACCCTGCAAGTTATTAATATCTATATATGTTAACTAATATATATATATATATAACTTGATGTGTAAGTATATATATATATATGTATTGATTAATATAATATACCAGCTAGTTTGGGAACTGAACTCCAACAACCAACACCAAAGATGGTTATGTAATGGAAAAGCTTCTCATCTTCTTCAGGGGACCATAAACCTTTTCTTAGTTTTTGCTTTAAAGAACAAGAATGCCGACCCATGTTTCTTAATTATGGAGAATGGCAGTGAACAATGAAGTTAACACTTGCTTTATATACTCGAATTAACCGTGTGCTTCTATCATAAATAAATGCTTAATTATATTATTTTTAGTGTTAAAATAGAACTTGCAATGTAATAATAACATTTATAAAGTTTATATATAGATAGAAGGTAAACAAACAGCCTCGCTATTTTTTTTTTTTAACACAAAATCAGTAGTTTAAAAAGTTATATTCTTAGATTTTAGATGTACGATATACATACCGCACCGTTATTCATATGTCTTTTGACTATATGTAAAATATCAGCGGCTTATAGTTTAGAAAATCAAAAGTAGAAAAAACAAATGGTGTAAAGAAGTCTTGATTGTTATAATATATTTTTTCATATTCGATCACTTTAATAAAGTGGTAAATTTTTTATTATATATTTTATAAATTTAGGGATAATTTGTAGGATTAAGCGTTTACTATTATACTAAAAGTAATTGTTGATAGTGAAGGCACAACTTTATTTTCATATAGTATAAGTTTTTTAGGGACTGGCCTAGTTCATACTAAGCGCCATGGATGAGATGTTAAGTCCTTGAAATCTCTAAGAATGAGGCTAGATTAAATAATCTAACAATCTCCCCCGACTGACAGTGTGAGTTGGGGGATTCGCACATATGACAATGCTCTAATACCACATGTAGGATCAAGCGATTACCATTACACTAAAAGTAATTGCTGATATGATAGTGAAGGCACAACTTTATTTTCATATAGTATGAACTTTTCAGGAGCTGCGCCTAGCCCATATTAAACGTCATGAGTGGGATGTTGAGCCCTTTAAATTTCTAAGGTTGACGTTGGATTAAATAATCTAACATAATTTACCCTTTATAAAGTGTATCAATCAAATTTTATCATATAAAATAAAATTTTAAAACCACCTATTAATCTAAAACTTTAAAGAATCAAAATTAAATCAAAAAAATAATATATAACATAATTTTTGAGTAGTAAGATATTGATATGTCAAGTATGAGTAATGATTCTCATGTTATTGTATCGAAAAGAAGATATTAAAAAAAAAATTAAAAAAAACATAAACTCAATATTTTAAAGGATAATCTAGAATTCATCTGATAAAAATTATACATAAATAGAATTATACGATTAACAAATAAACTGTATCCCTATCTTTTTTAGAGAACAAAATTAATATTTCAAAAATTACATTTATTATCATCATATGAGACACAATATTTTTCAATATAAGTATTTGTATTCCCTAAATATAGACAAATAATATAAAAATATATTTTAGTAAAGTACTTTTTTCATCTTTAATCAACTTTTTTGTGTTATACCATCAATAAAAAAACTTTATAAGGAATTAGATCTTTTCACCAATATTCTTTTTTTCTCTCTCATTCTTTTCTATCTCTTAATTTTACTTTCACTCATAGTTAAAAAACATAAAATAATGAAGAGAAAATAAAAATAAGAGAACAATAGAGAGAAAAGAGAAAGAAGGAGAGAATATTGATAGAGAGATCTAAAATGTTCATCTTTCCTTCCAACCATCAATAATTCATTAATATCTGGTGTATTACTCTCTCTAACTTAATCTTTGAAATATATAAAATAATATGTAATCTTACTCTATATTATAAGGACTGGTTAATGTATATATCTTTACTTTAATGGTAAAATTCATAAGACAATCATTAATTACAAAATTAATTACAGATTATTATTAATTAAAAATTAAATAAATAGTTTTTTTCCTTCTTTATCATAATCATTTTCATGAATTCAATTAAAATTAAAATTAAATTGTAAATAAATTTAATTTTTTTATATCTTTTTATTGAATATTTTTAAGAATATAAATTTATGTGCATTTCCATACAAAAATCTCTCCTCTCTAACTTAATATTTAAAATATATAAAATAATATGTAATTTTATTATATATTTTAAGGACCCCTTAATGTATATATCTTTACTTTAATGGTAAAACTCATGAGGAAGTTGTAGGAGTTATTTTAAATTTGGAATTTTTTACTTTTCCGTACTTAAAAAGTATGTGAATCTAACAATTATCTAATCTAATTTAAAAAAGAAAAACGGATGAGAAAGTAATAGACTAATTGTGTTTGTGATGATTTAATTATTTAAAAATAAGAGGGCAAAAGTATTCTTTATGATTGAAATTATGAGAGAGAAACCTGATGAAGGTAAAGCAATCAAGTGGGATTTACGCCAAATCCGGTGTTGCTTGAATGAATTGGTTTTTAAGATATCTATATTTCTAAAAATATGGAAAAAATCATAACAATTTAACCGTGTGCTTTATAGAATATAGTACCTCTGAAAGTTTTTTTTTTTTTGGAGTATAGAAGGGAGGGAAATGGAGAAGTTTGAAAGGATGTGAGTAGAAAAATGTAGAAAAATATAGAAAAAAATGTTATCTTTTAACAAGTTTTTTAAAAAATAATAATAAATATTTATTAATATATTTTTTATTTTAAAATTATTATAATAATCATGGTGACAAACGGACATGCTCGCTTCACAAAAGTCAATAAGAAAATTGGACGGTGAAGATTTTGTTGAAGATGCAGATCTAAATTGGTGCATCCTGTAAAAAAAATAAAGTTGGGTCCGCAAACATTGTATCTTATAAGTCTAAAAATTACAAAAATTTATATTAATGTCTGTTTCCGCAAAAGTATGGAAAAAAAAGGCCAGACGGTGCGAGCATATTAGAGATTATGGGCCTAAAATCTTGGTTGCATCAATGATAAAATTTAGAGAATTTCTTTATACACCATTATGAGTTCTTAGGGGTCCTTGACGAAATTCCTGTGATACCTCCTTAATTCTGATATGCATATTCAAACTCACCACATTTCAATTTTTTATCAAATATGCTCGGAGATGCATATTTGGAGCCACCAAATTATAACTTTCAGACACACATATCTGAAATAACCTCTGTTTCTTTTCTTTTATAAATGAAGGTTATTTCGGATAAGTATATCTGAATTGTGCAGAACTAGTAACAAATTTTGTTTTAGCATAATAAGTATTATAGAAACATGAAAAAAATTAAATCGGTAAAAGTAAACAGCGGTAAAATTTTGAATAGATATATTATATATATATTGAATCGTATAGAATTTACATTATGCACGATAATACATTCAAAAAATGGTTCGATTACATTCTAAAATACACGAACAAATTGTCACCGCTTAAATCTAAAACGAGTTCTTTCTTCGACTTCTCCCCATTTGATTGTCTCTCAAGCTGTGTCAATTTGGTGAACTCGGCCATCAACAACTTCATGGTAAGATGGAGTCCGCTTTGTTGAACTGTCATCTTGTGTACTTTTCACCTTTTTAGGGGCACCTTTGCTTTTTACCGGTTGCAAAGGAGGTTTCAAATCAATGGTTTCTGGATCTTGGACCTCTATTTGCCATGTTCTATTGATAACTTTCATTGTATACATGTCTTATATTTAAAACACAACATCAATGCAAGAAAATAAGAGATAAAATGAGGAAAATTTACTTTAAATTACAGCTTTCTATGCTATCTTTGATATGATAAAACACTTGAAACTTGGTTTGGAGACAAAAAGTTGATTGAGAATGGTTAAAGTTTTGTGGTAGGTTTTGGTTATGGGGGGAAATGAAAAGAATGAAGTTGTGGTATGGGTGATCATGCACCAAACTGAAATAACAATAATATTTTCAGATATGCATATCCGAAAATACCACTAGATGTTTAAATCCAATGTTTAATAACGTGAAAACAGGAGGTTTTCGAAGATGCATTTCTTAAACACCTTGAAAATTGATTAAATTGCATTCGGATATACATCTTCGAACCATTTTTTATGATGTGTTTAGAGTTTCATCTCCGAAGGAAATTTTGAAATTTTCGAAGGTTTACTTCACCATTATAAGGATGTATTAAGAAATTTCCTAAAATTTATTGACAACGATATATCCTTTAAGGTCCATCTTTCACCTCCATCACTAATGTCTGACCCAAATCATTTTAATGCTAAGGATATTGTTTAATGAAAAATTAATTTCATTGTCCTAGTTGATTCAACAAACATTAAAAGGCTGTGACATGTTTGACCATATTGAAGAAAATTCTCCTATGGTAAGTGCTCTTAATTTTAGTATGCGGGATAAAGATGACTTGGTTATTATTACCTAGTCAGAACCAGGAAAAACAAACAAACAAGGATCAACATCATCGTCATCCAAATTTGATTGTGATTATAAGAAGACTTGACATGCAAAAGATATGTGCTTTAATCTGCATTGGAAATAATTTGTTATTAACATAATTGAAGACATTATGAGGCAGTGGAGGAGCCAAGAATTTTAGGCATCCTGAGCAAAAAATTTAACCGCTAATTTTAGGCAGTCTATGTTCATCTGTTTTAGTTTTCACACCATGTAATTTTGTTCCTGATTTTGCTTAAAAATCGACTATTAGATTGGAGGGAATACAAAGAAAGTAGGGATTAAGCCCGAGTGTGTGCTCGGTCTCACTGGGCTATCAAATTGCCCCTGTCATGAGCATACCCATACTCAGGGGCATTTTGTCACATTGGCCTCAGACACTACAAGCTTTAATACATGGGTTACAAATATTCTCTTCTTTAATAAGGATGCCATGTATAGTCTGAAAGCCATACTTGGCTTCATCAATAAACCTTATGAATCTAGCTCTCTAGAAATTATTTGTAAGATTTTGTACTCTCAACTATTGATATTCAAAATACTTTTATAATAGATGTCTGTTAGGTTTCACGCTGATCACTAATGGAAGTGTCTTGAGTATTCATACTCATGAAATTAACGACACAAATTTGTTTAAGGATGGTGATAAATAACCTCAATAGTCATGCCTAAATTATTCTCTCGATTTCTGTCAAAAAACGAGGTAAAATGTATATCAGCTTCTTTTTTTACATTACATTAT